ATTTTAGTTTAAGGTTTCGTCTTTTGTCAGAAGAATTTGGGGTTTCGACTTTCGTCAGAGGTTTCGTCTTTCGTCATCATGCGAAAAAGGTTTCGTCTAACAACTATATACTCACCTGCTAAATGAAATGATTAACGTGAAAGAAACGATTTGTACGTAATAATAAATAAGTATCTATGTTCTTGCTTGTAAACTTGTTTTGCTATCTTTATTTCTGGAAATTATTAAATATTCTTCTATTCACAAGCTAATAAAATGATTAATACGAGTGAAATGTTTATTTATGTTCTTGTTTTGTGAATTTGTTTTGCTATTATTATTTCTAGAAATTATTAAAAATCTTTATACAGTCAGATCCCCCTAAGTGCACATTCCCTAAGTGCACGGTATATGAAAAACTCCTCTAATATGCACGCCCCTGCTTGGTCCCAACTCATATAACAATTATAAAATTTAATCTCCCTAAGTGCACACATCCTCTAAGTGCACATTTTGTATTTTTTTCACTATGGTCCCGAGGGGTGTGCACTTAGGGGGTGCGACTGTACTTACTTACTCAATGAAATAATTAATGCAAATGAAACAATTTGTACTGTTACGGGGTGAATTGTACGTTTTATTATTAAATAAAGAAAAACTTAAAAATGATATGATAAGTTAACTCGCCAGAGGCGTGACAATGGTGATTTAGCGTAATAATTATTTATTTATGCAGGAGGATTTTTTAAGTATTTTATTAACAATAATAATTTATAACTCGAAGGTTCTTCCCTCCCTTTTGACAAAGGTGAATTTACAGCTCTTTTATAACTTCTAAATTATTGAACATCATAAGAGGCTTTGGGATTGCGCAACTACTACTCTTTCTAAATATTAAAACTACTTTGTTGATCACGCTAATCCTCACATTCCTTTCGTTAAACATTCAGGTTTCCTTATTCCTTCCTGAACTTTCTCTATCTTATGTTTGCATCATTATTGTTAGAATCTTCTAGCAATAATATCTAAGCCTTGTAGATCGTACGCATAATTATTCTTCTCGTAAATCACGATCGTCATCTGGTTTGGAATTTTAAATGATTTACACTGCAGTTTCAGAAATGTCACTTTTACCCCGTGATATTTGCCCACGCTTATTTTAGACGTTCCATGCCTAAAGTTTGTAATTTTACAAGTAGTCTTTAGACATTCTCATAATTTTCTTTTATTAGGAGTCTAGTGATCCTCTTTTGTTAGGACATTATAAACGGTCGTGTATATCTTGGTCACTTCAGTATTTCTTTAAGAACTTCCGGTTTATGGGAGTTTTAATAATATTTCCTTCAGTGGTGCGAAGTTTATAAACACCCTTACCCTGGTTCTTATAGATAATGAAAGGTCCTTTCCATTTTGGGTTAAGTTTATAACTTTTTGAATTTTCTTGAGATACTTTGTAGACTAACACGACATCTTCTTTTTTTAGATCATCCACGATTTTAATCTGACGATTATACCTTTCCCTGGCAGTTTCTTGTGCTTGTTTAACCCTTTTTACTGCAGTGGCCCTTGATTCAGGCAAAACGTCGATTAGTTCAAAAAGTCTTTGTAAAAACGTCCTTCAAGAACTTCCTCGCTTTCACTAGGATGAATTGGGAGTCATACTTCCCTTCCATAGACAAGGTAGAAAGGTGTCATTTTGGTAGTATCTTGTCAAGCTGTACAGTAAGCGAAAAGGACCAAGGGTATTAATGAATCCCATTCCCTCACATTCATTATCAGTTTGGCGATAGACTCGCAGAGCATTTTATTAAAATGTTCTACTAAACCATTTGTCTGGGGATGGTAGGGTGTTGAGTAATGATGTTTAATGGTAAATTTCTTAAGAAATTCATCTATTAAGCTATTTCAAAAATGGGTTCCTCTATCAGATAACAGATACTGAGGACATCCGTGCTGACATACTATGTCTTCATATAAAAAATTGGCTATCTCTTGGGCGTTCGCATGTTTGATTGCACAGGCTTCGGGCCATTTTGTCATGTAGTCAGTAGTGACTACAATATAATGGTGTCCTCTTGGGGTAGTTGGTAATGGTCCTACTATGTCAATTCTGACTTTATAGAATGGGGCCTCAACTGGAATTGGGTGTAATGGGGGTTTTACTAGATTTTTACCCCTTCGTTGGCAGGTATCACATGTGCGTACATATTTCCTTATATCTGCATACATTTGTGGCCAGTAATATTTATCGCGTATTTTGTTAAACATTATGTCTGTTCCAAAATGTCCTCCCCAATGGATAGGTGTGTATTAAAAATAAGATTGGCTCAACCTCATATTTTTGGATAACCCTTAATATTCGATTGGCCTGATGTTTGTCTTTTTTATAAATTAGGCCTCGTTTAACTATAAAGAATTGCCCTTGTGTTTGTAAACTTCGCCGTTGTTGTTGGTTGAAGGTACGTGGTAATGTTTGATCATTTAAATATGTTTTTAATTGTTGATATCTAAGTAGTTCCATTTTTTCTTCTTTTTGCTAGGACACCAACTACCTAGACCGAATTGAATTTAATGTCAGATTTTTTTTTTTTTTTTTTTTTTTTTATAGTATTAATATTTGACTAATATAGTTTTCGAACTTTTCGGTTTATGACTGAATTTTAAAAATTGAGTTTAAAAAATTAACTATTTTATTAGTAATCAAAAAAAATTCTTATCGTATCGTCTTCTATCCTACTCTTCTACTTTATGTGATTCTTCCAGGATCATATTTTCGAATTTTTATGTTTTTCAATCCCCCTTTTTTTTTTTTTTTTGTTTTTTTTTTTGCACTGTACTTATTTACATCCCAGTACCAGGGTTATTTAAGTGCCTTTTTTTTTTTTATTTTTTTTTTTTTTGTGGAGTCTCTAGCGCTCAACCCGATAGTGCCTTTACATGACCGCTGTGCTGAGGGTTCTCGGCAAAGGTTTTTATGCCAACCAATTCACCGTTAATAGTATCATCAGCACTCAACCTGATAGTGCCTTTCATGACCGCTATGCTGAGAGTTTTCGGCAAAGGTTTTTATGCCAACCAACCAAATTATTAATAATAATAATTTTTTTTTTTTTTTTTTTTTTTGTGGAGTCTCTAGCACTCAACCCGATAGTGCCTTTACACAACTACTGTGCGAGGGTTCTCGGCAAAGGTTTTTATGCCAACCAATTCACCATTAATGGTATCATTAGCACTCAACCCGATAGTGCCTTTCACGACCGCTATGCTGAGGGTTTTTGGCAAAGGTTTTTATGCCAACCAACCAAATTATTAATAATAAATTTTTTTTTTTTTTTTTTTTTTTTTTTTTTTACTACTGCACGAATGTGCAATGCTTTTAAATAGTCATTATTTAATATTCCAAGTAAGATCTTGAAAATTTGTTCTTAAAAACTTATAAAGATTTTCACTATTGGCATATTGGAATATCACTAAGTGTTTTTTTTTATTTTTACTAATTTGGGTTAGTTCATATAATTGAAAATTATCACAATAACATTATATAAATAAATTCTTTTTAAAGAACCAGATAAGGTCTTGTATGCAACGGTGCATTTGATTCACGTGATCTTATATAAATGTAAGCAACTTTTCGAATATTATCCAATTACTTTGTAGAATATACTGAACCAAATTCTCCTTTACCAATTTCTTTAACACCGGATAATAATCTATTAAATGAAATCTATTCAATCGCTTATATATATATATATATATAATTAATCTCTTGTATGCATTTCTTTTTCCTGTAGATGTATACGCGATAAGGCATCCACATTCGAGTGTTTTCGACCAGCTCGGTGTACAATGGAATAATTATATGGCTGTAATCTCAGAATCCATCGGGCTCTTTTTCCTTTCGGCTCCGCCGTATGCAACCATTTAAGGGCAGCATGATCAGTGATTAGGATAAAGTGTTTGGCGCCCAGATAATAATGGAAATATTCGACGGCCCAGACTACTGCCAAGCATTCGACTTCTGAAGCAGAGTAGTTTCGCTCTGTTTTTGAGAGTCCTCTACTTGCATATGCTACCACATATTCTCTGTGGTCCTTATCTTTTTGAGCTAGTACGGCTCCTAATCCTGTGCCAGACGCATCTGTATGGAGATAGAACGTCTCCTTAAAGTCTGGATATCTTAATATGGGAGCCATCATAAGGTGCCTTTTTAATATCTCAAACGCGTCTTGTTGTCTTTCTGTCCATTTATAAGGGGCATCCTTTTCTAATAACTTATGTAAAGGAGTAGCTATATTTGCAAATCCTTTTATAAATCGACGATAATAAGATGCCAGTCCAAGGAATCCTCTTAATTGTTAAAGGTTGATTAGTACGGGGAAGTTTTTTACTTTTTCAACTTTTGTTTCGTCAGGTCTTACATCTTTCTTACTTATTATATGGCCAGGATAATGGATCTCTGACTGGAAAAATTTACATTTTTCAAGATTCAATTTTAAACCTGCTTCTTGTAACTTATCAAAAACACTTTTTAAGTGTTTTAAATGATCCTCAAAAGACTTTGAAAATATATTAATGTCGTCTAGATAAACGACAACATACTCCCCAATATAATCTCGAAGGACTTTATCCATCAGTCTCTGAAATGTTCCCGGGGCATTACAAAGTCCGAATGGCATTACATTAAATTCATACGTCCCGAACTTTGTAATAAATAAGGTTTTTTCTTTATCCTTTTCCCGTAATCCCACTTGCCAGTAACCACTCATTAGATCCAGAGTGAAAAACCATTCTGCGTTTCCAAATGTATCTAGTAGTTCGTTTATATGGGGGAGGGGGTAAGTATCCTTTTTGGTTATAGAATTTAATTTTCTATAATCTATACACAACCAGAATTTCCCATTCTTTTTAGGTACTACAACTACGGGGGACGCCCAAGGACTAAAGACATCACGGATTAGCCCCTTTTTCCTTAATTTGCCGATTTCTTCTTTCACAAACTTATTTTGTTCATAAGATGTTTTATAAGGGCCTTGGTATATTGGGAGGGCGTTTGCTGTATTTATGGCATGGGTAATAATGTTAGTCTGCCCTAGATCTTCCAAATCCCGAGCAAACATATATTTTCTATTACATAAAAACATTTGTACGCTACACTGTTGTTGAGAAGTTAATTCATTATTTTTAATAGATTCTTTAATTTTCTCCTCTATAGGTTTTTCCTCCTCGTCGTTCCCTATGGGCACTGATTCAATATTAGTAAGGTATAGTGCCAGATTTTCCTCACATTCCAAACATTGTCCTTCGATTTCGTCCGATTCCTCGTAATCGAATTCGTCGAAGGTATCACCACCTTCACTACCATAATCATCCTCTTCCTGATAAGAATCCAGGGTTTCAACCCCAGTGTTTGAAATTGGGACCTCCACCGTTTTGTCAGTATAGCGTATATATAATTTCTGTTCATCAAAATGAATGCGAGCCCTTGTTTTCTGGAACCAGTCGGTTCCTAATAATAATGTTTCATCTGAGGATTCTATAACATGCAAAGTGGTGGGTATCACCACTCCTTTTACTA